CCACTCTAATAAGGGTATTCCAGGATAATTTAGCTATTATTAACACACGAAATTACCAGTGAAAGAATCAGTAGCACACAGGTGGTCAGATAGAAACAGGGAGACGGAGACAGGAAGAAAGTCACAGAATACCAGGTTGTAAGGGATTTTTCCATCCAAAAAAAAAAAAATTTCATCATCCCTGACAGATGGCCATTGTAAATACCTTCAGTGATGGGGAATTGCTGTCTTCAGGCAACACATGCTATTTTGGGTTAGAAATTGATATTAAAAGGGCAAATTCTAAGTTATCTGGAAGACTAAAGAAATAGGGATACTATTCAGGATGAATTACACATGGAAAACTTTCTAGATTTGACTGAACTACATAAAATATCAACATTAAATTCAAAACTAATTTGCAAGACTATTTGAACATTCAAATGTTGGATCTGCTACTTGATTCCACTAAAAAAGCCATGCTTTCTTTGGCTGCTGTAAAAATAAACCTTTTAATATATCTCTCATTCACATTTCCATGGTGCAACATTTCAACCACACATCTGGCAACACTTTCATCTATTTAGGCAGTGGCAAGTAAACAGAAAATATATATGTATGTGTGTGTATGTATATATATTCATGAGCATTTCAAAGTACTGGTTGTATGAATTTCATACTATATTTTGGTTACATACCAAAATATATTCTGCAAATGATCATGAATATTTTAATGGTCCAAATCAGAGCATCTTCTTTTTTTTTTTTTTTTGCAGTTTTTGGCCGGGGCTGGGTTTGAACCCACCACCTCCGGCATATGGGGCTGGCGCACTACTCCTTTGAGGTAGAGGTGCTGCCCAAGCATCTTCAATGAATACAAGGTATCCTACAAATCCATTTCATCCCACTACTTTGTTGAAAACAATAGTGTTTATATTTTATATTTATCTTTATATAGTTGTTCCATCAAATGAGAAAACCAATAATTAAACCATTTATTTGCTCCATAATGTTTTAGAAAAACTCACAAGCCCAGTGATTGCAGATGGCTACCACCTGCGATTGATGCTTGGGCATGTTTTTTTAAAGGCTTCTGTAGCCCCTTCTATCACATCTATCTTGCCATGTTGTTGGTACAGAACTGGAAGGTAGGTGGAGCTTCACACTTACATATGGTCCTGGATTATCTTAATCTAATCTGCCAACATATTGTGTGGAATAAGAAGTTTTTATAGCGTTGTCTGGATTTTGAAGAGGCTCAAAACTCTCTTACGCTGACATTATTTCACATAGATTCCAATCTTCTTTGTAGTTCAGGATTCTAGCTGAGAATTAGAGCAGCCCCCATGTCCTCTTCCCACACCACTAGAAGAAGGTGAACCTGGCGCTGCGCCTTGGGCAGTATTTGTTCCTATGTGATAACTGGGCCCACAGGAAACCTGGTGGAAGTATTAGAGGAAGAAGGTTTCTATGAATACGTTAGCAATGTCACTCTCTACAATTTGTTGTCCTTGGACACTAAAGAGCATCCAGTAACAAATGAGTTGTTCTCTCCCCAAAGGTATCACTTGTGTTCAAGCTTGAGACAGAGAACAGCAGCTGCTGACATTCAAGAGCTGCCCTAGCACCATCACGGATGCCTTGGGCCTCAATTGAACATAAACAATTTCACAGGGTGTCAGCCTCAGACAAGGTCACTCTGTGACCATGATGGAGCAAAACAGAAGTGGCACCGCTCCCTTATCACGTCTGAACACAGACAAAACACGGACAATGTCCAAGCCATAAAATACCAAAACACCAAACATCCCCCTCTCTTTGCCAAATGAGATTGCTGCTTCTTTACCAATTACGGCTTCGTGTTAACACTCTAGCCTGCCCTCCTGTGGACAAGATTTCCTGGGATACACAATCATGGAATTGTTCTTGCTTTCTGACAGGACCTCGGGCAGAGCCAGCCCCTACCCTCTTGGACCCTCTTCTAAATTACAGGAGCAAAGTCTGAGTTTTGTGAATTCTTTCTGGCAACTCCTTTCTGAGGTGTTCTGGGGTTCTCCAAGATGTACAGCAAAGAGCCCAGTGTATTCAGCCACAAGTGTATATGCCTGGTGTTTTTTTGAGTGAAGGGCACTAACAAGCCAGTTTCAGAAGCCAAAATAGACAGTCTTTAAAAAAGCTGAAAGAATTTCTATCCTCAACATGCTCGCTAAGATTCTGATATAAATAAACTCTGCCTTGAGCTTATTTTCTCACAGGGCAGGTCTGTGGCAAAAGAACCTTTAGTTCTGTCCTTCAGAAGAACTACTTCTGTGAAGAATAGACAAGCGGCCCATCTGTTATCTGTTTACTAGAGGTAGAGGCATGTTTTCAAGGAATGTGATTCAGCACAATAGCTCTACACTCTGGCCACAGTGAACTTGGTGGTCCCTGGTGCCAGATGTTTACCTACAGCTGAGTTGAGGTGAACCTCAGAAGAAAAACAACTGAATTCATGTGCCATTGACTTTGCTCTGAGCTTTTCTTTTCTCAGATCTTGCCTTTATTAGGGATGTTTCTCTCTTGATTATTATTTCTTCCTTTGGCACATTTCATGGTCTGGTTTTTAAACATGAAAACTTAAGTTGCCTATTGTGCAAAACGATGTGAAACAGTCCTGTAAAAGGTGGAGTACATTTACGTAAGTCTCAATAATTTGTAGGAGATTAAAAGTTTCCAATTATAGCGCGTAACTTTTGCCATTTTGAAAAATTACTACTAGTCTTCGTAAAGCGCCCACATTGCGTGCTGTCATTTCTGTCTCTCTCAAAAATAGACACAGATTTTTCTCCTAAAAAGCTTATTCCAATAAAAACTTCCATGTAAGAAAACAGTAATAACACCTAAAAACTATGGCCATCAACTATAAATACTATTTGAATAAAGATACTATTCAAAAAAAATTTTAACACATTATTTCTGATCCTCACAAAATACACAAAAGGTGTATAGAATATATATATATATATATATCATTACTCAGGTCTTAAAGACGAGCATGTGTGTGACAGAAAGTAAATGACAGGCTGCAAACATATTAAAGGGTGGAACGAAAACTCAAAAATTCTTATGTCCGACCTGATAAGTTGAGGGATGAGTGTGTGTACATGTGTATCTGTCCCCTACTCTGTCATGGAATTAATATTTTTTCAAGAGCAATTCCTTGTAGGCAAAATTATGTTTAACACTGACTATTGACGGTGTTGTAATAGCTCGTTTAATGCATGTCTCTGTATGCCCAAACACACACACAGTCAAAACTTGCTGTGGATTTTTATCATTCTGCAAGTTTGGAAAAGGACTTAGTCCTAAAATAAATTTGTTTGAGAAAATGGAGCTTAAAAATGTGATAGTTATGATACAGGATGTTTTGTTGTCTCTGCCCCCTCAAATATTTTTAAATGGCTTTGGCTGTATGAATGTAATATCACCACTCAGAGCTTAAAATCTCCTCGAGACACATTCTCCCCCCCCACCCCACCCCGCCCGTAGGAGTCTTGAGTATACTGTCGCTAAAGCAATCCAAGGACTTCAGAGAGAAATGAAGAGAATTTTGAAATGATAACATGGATTAAAGCAAAAATTCCTTTTTCTTTACTGTCCCCTCTCTCTTATTCTCTCCCCCTCACTCTTTTCTATTTGCTTTTTTTTTTTTATTAATGTTGATCAGTTACCTAACACTCTATGAAAATGTCCTTAAGGGTTAGGGGATCCAAAGGACATTCCACCAATGCTCCTGCCTGCCCTGAGTTATCCTTTTCCCTTTTCTTACATTGCATCACTATCTTCAGGCTATTACTAAAAAATTGTCGCATGCTTATTTTTATCAAATTGCATGACACCATGTAAACATACTACTCCCTTGTTTGTTGATACCATGATCTTTTAAATATCGAAGGTTTCAAATTACTTAAAATTTTTTAGACAATGAGACGTTTAGCACATGAGACATCTATAATTTTGACACACAATGCAACTTCATCAGCAACATAAAAACTATTCATTTGTTCATGTTTATTATTTTTGTATTCTGCTCATTCAAATCCAAAGCCATCTAACACTGGAAGCCATTTATGTAAGAATCATTTCCAAAATCCCACCCATGTTCTTGCGCCAGGAAATAAGTGGATTTCAGGAGAATTTATTTTTCAAGCGCCTCTTTCAGAGGTGGGGCTCAGAGAGCTCCTGAAGCTGCAACAGTTTACCGGAAGGAGTCAGGCCATAAAGAAAGAAGTGCTAGCACTGGGTGGGGCTGAATAGTTTGCATCTTTTCCCACTGTTTCTCGCTGCTATCATTTCCATGAAAAGCAAGAATCTGAACATTTATGCCAGAGTAAGAAATGCTACAGACTGCTTTGTGTGCCCAACACCCCCCCACCCCATCATATCATTAGCTGTTTATTTTTAATCATTAAAAGAACTACCACACTGATGTCTGGGCAAACTGCAAGGCAGCTAAGTAAACCAAGGAATATCATACAGGGTATGATATTCTCCTGTCAAAACAGCCTTTTCTCCTTAGGAAAAATACACTGAGCGTGGAAGCAAAGGCATTTGCTGTCCAGCCATCTCAAGATCAACACCAAGCAAACACATCTGGCCCCAAACCTGCCTTTGCTTCACAATGCACCTTGCTTAACAATCTTCTTTTCAAACTCACTCACTGTAAAAATAAGAGGACTCTCTCTGGACCCAGTTAACATCAGAGCATCCATCAGGGGCTCCAGTCATCAATAATCCGCATGCTGAACACACCTTATCTCTGTCCACTTCGCCAGGCTCTGGTCAATGTATCCATTATGAACCCTGCTTCCTTTACTATGCTCAGAAGGCAGCAGTTTGCACCTGCCTCTTTAAAAAGCAAGGTTTGGCACTGCTATAGTCTATAGCTACTCAAAATGCTCCCCGGTTTCCATAGCCTCACTGATGTGACAGGCTCGCACACACGTATTTATATACAAGCATTCCTAATTCTGACCATTTACCTTTTTGGGTCTTTTTCTTCTCTGACTACTGCCGTTGAACTTCTCTCCACTGTCGCTTTTCTGAGCTGCGTCTTCGTTTATCATTTTGAACAGTTTCGGAAGAAAATAGCTCTGCCATCAAAGCCTGCCGCCTGTGCAGACCACTAGCAAGTGTGCACTTACTGGAGGAAGGCAGGAGGAGGAGGGGTGGGGAAGGGGCGCGCACTGGGAGGGTAAGGACGGTGACGTTGCCATGGCAGCAGCTGCCACAACTGTTTATCTGACTGCATTGTTAAATCTGATTCAACCAATTACCATCGGGGACCAGTTACAATGAAGAAAGCCTTGAAAACAGAATGCCAGGGACTCAGATGATTTGGAGACTCTGCTGGTTGGTTTCTGACACACCCTTGATACGATCAGCTCTCAACCCACACACAAAACCTGTGCTTAATTTTCTTCCCGCAGGTACTCCGACACGGACAGACACCATGCATAAGGAGAAAACTACAACGTTCTTGAATGTGTCTCTGAACCTGAAGAGGTACATTTCAGCCATTCAAGAAGCCACTTACGGAAAAGCATTGGCTACAGTGAATATGAGAAAGCTACATTTTTGAGATGCTATTCAGTTGATTGAAAATTATAATCCTTTAAAATCCTGCTTGAGAAAGACTTCTGTGCTAAAACCTTGAGAACAGCTTCTCCCTCCATCAGGTCATACAGACCCCTCCTCCCTCCGTGCCTTCTCTGCACTGTCTGACGGGGCACCTGTAACACCACATTGCACAACTGCACAGCTACTCAACTGTTTTTTCTTAATAGGCAGAGAGTGACTTCAGTCCGGGAATAGAGTGTGTGTGTGCCCGTGAGTGTATGTATGTGTTGCGGGTGTGTGTGTGTCTGCATGGGGAGAAATCATTGAATTTTTCAGAACCAAGCATGATTCATGATCCATTAAAGGCAGCTACTCAAGGTTTGATAAATATGTAAGACACAAGGGGTAGTACAAACATAAGGAACCAGTGGCATTGGAACATTTGATAACTGATCTTAAAAATGTTCTTAACCTAATATTCTCTATTGACTGATAAATAAAACACAATCCCTGCTGTAAGAAGCATAGAATATAAAGTTCTGGACTTTTTGGTAAGAAAAAAAAATGGGTTGTTTTTAGAGTCGGAAACCCAGTTTCACGTATTGGATCATGGTGGCCACGTTTGTATATTTAAACATATGAAATGGTGAATGCAAGCCCAATATGTTTATACCAATACACATATCGCTTTTCCTAGAAATCCTTATCTACTTGCCTAGAGAATGACTGTAATGTATAAAAATACTTAGAAATATTAAGCATTACTCAGTAACGATAGAGTTAAGATTAAGCCAATGCAATAATGTAAATCCATGTACTCTGAGAAGTGAAAGCATCTATGTAGATGTGTTGCTATTGTTAATCTTGTTATTATTACAAAATGTAGACGGTTTGTACTCAGAAAAGCCTGCCTTAATGGTATTTCTCACATGAAAATGACTGGCCCTGCTGGGAACTACCTTTCTACCAGACATAGCAACAAAAATCTACTGTCTTTGCCCAGGGCTATTAGGATAGCGTGGTCTCTCTCTCTCTCTGCCTTACCACCCCGAGACCCTTGCCATGTCCTCCTCTCGAGCCTGCCCTGTCTTTCTGCTTTCCACTCCCTCCACCCTCCTTCCATTTCAGCACACATGCCCCACTAATTCTGTCCTCCTACCACGCCTCAGTGATACCCCCCAAGGGATCACTGCAGCAAAATCCTGCAAGGACGTCTGCAAAAGCTTCCAGAAGCCCAACTCCCCTTGTTTTCCAAGGCCTCACCCAAATCCCAGTGATCTCCCCCACACTCGGACTTTCCTCCCACAAACCCCTCATTCATTCCCTCCCTTCACCCCATTCTGCACCCCTTACTCAACCTTTCTTGAGAGCAGCCTCGATCTGGACACTGGATTCATTTACTCCGTGCATATTCAGTGAATGCCTATGAAGTTCGAGGCATGGTAAGCACTAAGGACCCATTCTCCTAAGCACCAGGTATAAAGTGGTGAACAAATAGGCAAAATTTTGCATTCTTGGTGCTTCTATTCCAACAGAGAAACTAGGTGGTTAAAAATAATAATAATAGTGGTAAGCGCTATGGGGAAATAAATTAGAATAGGGAGTGACGGGGAGAGATGCTATTTTATACAAGGCACCTGGAAATGCTCTCTAGAAATCTGAATGAAGTGAGAGACCAAATCAAGCAATTATCTGAAAGAGGACCATTCTAGGCAAAGAGAACAGCAGTTAAAGGTCCTGAGATGAGGAATTGGGGGCAAAAATATTGAAGAAACTATGCTGCCACCAAGAGAAACAATTGGACTTATAGAGAAGACACGCTATTAACATTCTTCATTCTCAGCTGCAGTCAGATTGTGTTTTTAATCAAGGGCTTCGGTAACCAATTAATAATGTAATCATTGACTTTGCATCACCTCTGCGATTTAAATTGAAAGCAAATAAACTTCCTATTTCACCAGTTTATGAATTAGTAACTCCTGATTACATTCACACGGCCTCTTACAACAGTGTCTTCTCTGCCAACATTCAACTATGTAATATTTGTCTCTAAATACTCAGATGTAGGCCTCTAACTTTGACCATCTGCCATAACCTCTGGCCACCTGGTGTTTGTCTTTGTTCTGCTATAGCAAAATACCTGAAACTGTGTGAACTATAAATAAAAGAGATTTTTTTTTTCACAGTGCTAGAGACTGGGAAGTCTAAGATGGAGGCACCAGCAAGTTCATTGTCTGGTAAGGCCCAATCTTTTCTTCCAAGGTGGGGCCCTGAACACTGCACATAGCAGAGGAGCAGAAGGGGATAAAAGAGGACCTGGCTGGTTCCCTCCAGCCCTTTTATGAGGTCACTTATCCTGTTCATGAAGTCCCCCTCATGACTTAATCACCCCCTAAAGGCCCCAGCCCAAATGCAATCGCAATTTAGGTTAAGTTTCAACAAGAATTTTCCAGGGGACACAAACATTCAAAATACAGCAGCATTCTTCTGGAATATTAATATATTTAAACTTTTACACAACGCATGTTCTTTATAGAATGAACAGTGTTGCAAAAATTCCAGCATAATCACATGGATATAAACATGTACATTCAATGAAAATCTCAGCCAGTATATAAAGTGAACAGGTGCTGGTAGTGTGACATCAATCACAACATCAGAAACTCTTCACTTTCTATTCTAATAGCACAGATTCTGGTGGGCATGTCCCTGGCTGGACACTAAGCCCCTTGGGGGTGGGATTAATGTCTATCAAGACTTGTAACTGCCTAATACAGTGCATGGCGCAAAGGCAGCATCTAGGAGCTATTTTTAAATGCAGCAAAGAAACATTTTCAGTACTTACCATGAGTTTATACTACGGTTAAACTTCCAGGGAGTAGATTTTTTCTTTCTTAGATTTTCTTTAATTTCGTGTACTTTCTGATATGTAGGAGCTATACACAATTTTGAATAAGATTTTGAAACATACTTAAGAAATGGAGTTGCTACAAAGTTAGCAATGACGATAATACCTTTGTAAAGCACTTTATAATTTAGAAATCCTTCTTTTGGGCTCCTAAGATGGAAGCTCCATGAGAACAGAGACCTTGTTCTTCTCGTCGTTCTCATTTCTATATCCTGATCACTCTTAACAACGCTGGCAGGTGACAGATACTCAGGAAACATTCAGTGACTTCAGAAGACTCTCACAGCCACACAGGGAGGAGGTTAATATCAGTCACAGTACAGGTGAGAAAACTGATATAAAAAGTAGTTTTGGTGACTTGCCCAAGGTAACAAAGTTCATAAGACTACGTCCTTAAGTTCTTCTGATTTGAAGGCCATTGTTCTTTTATTAAATAATGGCTGGCTTCAATGCAACGCAGCCACTTAATAAAGTATAAGGTGGGCAAAGACTGAGATAGAAAACGCCATGAGCAGAAACCACAGTCACAATGATAATGACCCAAGTAGAAAAAGGAAGAAGTCTTTATTGGTTTCACGTTAAGCACATTTTATAGAAATTGAGTTTAGAGGTGATTGTACTAATTTTAATATGCCTACTCTATTTTACTAAACCATTAGAGTTAATAGTATTATGAACTCTAATATATACTACTTTTTTTTTGAAAAATCATAACATTATTTCAATGGGATAAAGTTCCCTGAAGTATTATGTCTTAGAGGTAGATTATCTTTCAAAAGTTCATTTGTGAGTCAGAGTTGTCTTGTGTTACAAATGCATTTTTTTTTTACCCAGAAACAATGTTATAAAAGCTCATTTCTCTAATGCCTTCAAAAGGCTTTCCCACTCACTTTTACTTGTGGTGGAAAATCTTAACAACTTAACCCCGACTGCGCAGGAGTTCACCAAACCATTTTTCCTTTCCTCTTGGGCACACAGCTAGACCACTGTTGTGTGTTGAACTGTGTCCTTCTAAAAGACACGTTCACCTCCTAACCTCTAGCACCTGTGAAGGTGACCTTATTTGGAAATAGGGTCTTTGCAGATGTAATCACATTAGGATGAAGCAATGATCAATTAGGATGTGCTAACCCAATGACTGCATGTCCTTATAAGAATAGGGAAAGTCAGACATAGAGACACACAGGGAAAAGATGTCCATGTGAAGAAAGAGGCAGGAGTTGGGATGATGTAGCCGTAAAGCCATGGAGGCCAAGAACTGCCAGCAACCACCAGAAGCTACAAAGAGGCCAGGGAGGATCCTTCTGAAGATCCTTCAGAGGAACATGGCTCTGCGGACTCCTTGACTTCACAGTGTTAGCCTTCGTGAGTGTGTGAGAATAAAGTGCTGTTATTTCAAGCCACCCTTTTGTAGCACTTTGTTATGGCCACTCGAGGAAACAATTATGTTTTCCATCCTCCTTTGTAGTTAACTGCAGCCTTGAGACTCAGTGATTACCAGTAGAACGTAGGTAGAGGTATAAGCCACTCCCAAGCCCAGCTAATAAAACGCTCCCATGAGTAATCATCTGTCTTTACTCATCTGCGGGCAGAATACAGAGGCAGACATAACCAAGACAGCGGAAGTGCAAAGACTGGACAAAGCACCGTGTGGAACAGAATACCTCTGATCCCCCTCTTCTATTGACCCTCATGGACATGAGTAACTTTTTCTCATGAGAGTTTAGTCACTGAGATTGTGGTGTTGTTTGTGATAAAAGCCTATGGTAATGAACCACATCTCCTCATGTTTTTAAGGGACTACACAGTCATATTTCCAGTTAAAAATAGATGTCTCAGGATGTCTGTTATATGCATGATAATCTCAGGGCATCGACGTTCTTAGCCATTAAAAATGGATCCTGTGTCCT